TGTGTGTGTGTGTGTGTGTGTGTGTGTGTGTGTGTGTGTGTGTGTGTGTGTGTGTGTGTGTGTTGATGATCTAAGACAGTGTATTTGTATTCTTTTGTTTCTCTGCTCACTGTCTGGTTGAGCCCGAGACTGTTAGAGATCACAGAGACACAGAGATGAATGGTGAGGTTTCCCTGAAGTTAGTTTGCTTTTCTAAAGACAGATCCCAGTTAAATTGCCAACACTACCTCTCCAGGGATTTTTCTCTTACCTGGGTAAAGTTCAACAAGAAGAATGGGCCCAGCAACAAACAATTAAGAAAAAGACTCATTTTACTGCTCAGAAACAGCCTTAAGAGAACTATTTTCCATGCCCCATTAAGTAACATGTGGGCCAGCGGATCAGGTTTTTGTCTAAGTCTTTATTAGGGGGCAAGGCAGAGAAAGAACCCTGCCTTGTTGCCTGGAACATTCTATTCCCTTTCTACTTAGGCTTCCCCCAAATTCTTTCATGTTCCATTTCAAGTGTCCACATTTCCACAAAATCTACAACCATTTACTCTTTTCCTCCTGACTTAAAGTTTTATGTATAATGTACTCTTTTATAAGTTTTATACACTGATTGTTGATTAATTGATTGATACCTGGTATAGTGGCTTTTAAAATGTGATGTCTAGAATAAATTAAATATCCAGATAGATATTAAACTTCATAGAAGAAACCGGCTCAAATTTGATTGCTTTTCTCCATTAGGTTCTTCCATCATTGTTGTTTAATTTCCTCATGGGAAGCTACTGCTTAGGGGGATTCATGAATAAACAAACCATTAGATGCAAATTGTTAAATCTTTCAGGCTTATGCATATGTAAGGCTGCGAAGATGGTATAATTCTTAATATTTCTTCCATAATTATTCATGGTGGAAAAGCCATATGTCTTTGTACTACACAGATGGCTTTAATTTTATCCTAAAAGCAAAGGAGCCACTGTGGAGTTTTGTGCAGGATAGTTATCTGGAAGAATAAAAATTAACATCCCCAACAGAGTGAGTGCTTAACACATCAATTCTCACACTGCTAATAGTAAATTAATTTCTGGGAAATGCAGAGTTGCAGAAAGGATTCGACAGATGCAATGAAGTCGGGTACACTTTGGAGAAAAGGAAATGTCTAGTTAAGGAATGAAAGTATGGTGAGTTAACTGTGATTTTTAATGTGGTAGTCTTGACCCTCAGTGTGAGATATGATGGAACCTTTAAAATTAGGGTTTAAAATCCCACTGTGGTGGTACATACCCTGTCCTAGTACTCAGGAAGTGGACACAGAGAGTTTCAGGCCAGCTTGAGCTACAGAGTATCAGCCCAACTGGACCTCATGCAGAGATTCTGCCTCAACAAAACAAAAGTAAAACCAAAAATTATGTGCAGCTTAGTGTAAGTTAATTAGGACACTGGGGACCCTGTCCTTAGGAGGTTCTTATGGGGACTCTGGCTGTTCCCAGAGAGTTTAGTATGAAATAATAAAAATGCCCCCTCCTCCCCTCCCTGTTCTCTGGCTCCTTGAGGCACAGCATGTCTTTTGCTCTCATCCATGCTCCCCTTCCAGGATGCTGTCACCATGATTTAACACAGCCTGGGAGAACTTCTATAGAGCTGTATACATGAGGTCACCTGATCTTGGACTTTAGCCTGTGAGTAAAATAAACTTTTCTTTACAAAGTACCTAGGCTCAGTTGTTGTGTGATAGAAAAAGAGACCAACCCAAGGACTCTCTTCTGACCATTCACCCATACCTACTCTCAGGTAGTGACCCTGTTCCATGCTTTACGAGAGACAAATCCGGAAAAGGAGGTGCTTACAGCTCACATCACCCCCCTTCAGGCTCGGAAACCTCAGGCTCAGAGGCTCTGCCCTCCTTTTGTGCACCTTCTCCAGGATCCAGGGTCTCCTCATGACCCCAGGTGTCACTTCCTTTCCATTTCCTGGGTAAGACTGATATCATTTAAGTGACCTTAAGTGCTTTGCATTAGCAAAGCAGGGGAGGTGTCTTGAGAGTGAGATTCCTTCTCACTGAAGGGCCCAGGGTGGAAAAGCATTCGTGAAAGCTTAGGGAAACTTTCTCCAGGTTCAGCTGGGCAAGCTCTCAGAGCTTTTGCGGCCACCGCCCAAGAGGGCCTAGTGACCTCTCAAGGTGACAGCCGAACTCGTATCCTGGTTTTGTTGCATTTTTTGTTATACATTTTAGTTGTTGTACGTGATTGCCTCTTGGATTATTATTAATGTTATAGTTCATACACAATTTTTATTGCTGTCCTGGTTTTGGTGGTGTGCAGAATCCAAGACTAATGGGGAAGTGGAGACTTCTGCCAAGGTTCCAGAGAGAAGCCTAAGAGGCACAGACTGAATTCCCTGCAAAGAGTCTTAGAACAGGCTTTGTACAAAGCTCTGGGAGTGAAGCTGAGACTCAGGGTGTTAGAAATACCAAGAATGTTGGAACACTGCCCCCCCCCCAAAAAAAGCTGCACTCGTTTAAAAGAAGCCGTATGTGCTGCAGGAGACAAGGGCTACCCAGACCCTCTGGAGTTCACATCATGTCACTCCGTGCCCCAGATGCCAGGCTGGATTTTGGTCTGTGTTTGAGCCAGTTCTTCCTTGCTATCTGCATGATCCTTTGGGGATAGAAATGTTTTCTCTGTGACACTGTATATAGGAAGCATGTCACTTTTTTTTTCTTCATGTTTACAGGTGTTCACAGCTGAGAGTTTTCATTGGATCTCAGAAAAGACTGGACATTAGAGTTTTAAGTAGCATCAGTTTTCCCTTCATGTATTTTAGGGTTCTGCTGTTAGGTATGTATTTTTTTTATATTGTATCTCATCTGTTGGATTTACACTTGGCTCATAAAACATCATTGTCTCTAGTTAACAGGTTTGTTGTTTGTTGTGTTTTTTTCTCATTTTTTGTTTGTTTGTTTTTGTTTTTTGTTTGTTTGGGGTGTGTGTGTGTGTGTGTGTTTGTGTGTGTGTGTGTGAAAGTCTGTTTTACATGCCATTGGTCTAGCATTTGTTTCCAAAATGTTTCTTTGAATGTAAATTTTAAGTCATCTTTACCATTTGTCTACTGAAGGTTGTGGTGGTATCCTTTTTTCCTCCTGCATTTTACTGCAATTTAAATTTTTTAATTTTTTTTTTACTTTTTTTGCTATACATTTTAGTTGTCAAAAGTGATTGACTTTTGGATTATTATTAATGTTGTAGTTCATACACAATTCATTTAGTGTTAATGCCAATTTATTTTCAATAGTAAACTGGAACTACAGCATTTCCTCAGCCTCTTTTTTTTTTTTAATGTAAAAAGTAAGTTGGGAGTTCTGAAGTGAGAGATTCTCTTGCTCATCTTGAAGGATGAGACTGCCACAGACAGGGATAGCTGTGAGCAGGGAATACTAATGGGTCTTCAGTTACTAGAACTGATGCGGTTGGCCCTTGACCATGCCTTCGGACCTTTTGACTCTGATGGCATTGAGTCAACGCTTTAGTTGTCAGTTTTGTGAAACTCTGAGCAGAGGAACCATCTACACCAGACCCAGATGTCTAACCTGAGGTAGTTTGAGACAGCATGCAGCATTTTAAGCTGCTAACATCACAGTGTGCTGTTATACCACTAAATAAAAAAAGCAATAGTATTTTAAGGCACATGCATTTTGTAGAGGAATGTTTGCATGTTCTCACAAGGCAGTAAGCAGTTTCCCAAATGGTTGAAAGTCTTTCTAATTGTCTTTTTCTGAATTCATTTCACCCCTACCTCATTCCCAGAGCTTTTATGCTAAAACCTCTTTATGCTGAGGTCTTTCCCCAATAGGCCACATCCTTAGCTGTTTTCCACTTAGGATGGCTTCAAGTCGATGAACCGTGTGATATTTATATGAGCCATAGGAAACACTCAACTTGCTGTGTGTCCTAGGCACTGGCTGGCAGGAGCTGTATCTGCTGTGGGGCTGCCAGCTGGGAGTTGATAGAAAAACAATAGCTTTAATATGGGAAATGAAGCCTCTGGCAAGGAAATATCCCTGTTTCTATTCCCATTTGCCATTTCCCCAGCAGACGTTATTGACCAGAGTCAGGCCAATGTCAGAGACCCTGGTGGATGGAGTTTGTATGACATAGTGCTGAAGTTTCAGAGTCAAGAGGGAATGAAAAGGAGAAGAGCCTAAGTACAGGGTACACTGAGCATAATATTGCCCAGGTCCATATATCCCCATAAAATTGATCAAGTATAAGCCCCATGGCAGAGAGTTTTCAACCTTAGTTTTTGAAGCTACAAATTGTATTTCACAAGGCAAAAGTTATAGTTTATCATCTGCATATATCCTATGGAAATGAATATTTTAATTAATCTCTAACCATTTTCTTTTGCAGGAAAAAAGAACAATGCAAATTCAGTAGCATAGGCATTAACAGAGTAGATGGGAGTTGTTTTAAAAATACATCATAATAGTTATAATCAGTGGACAATACATTTCCTCATCAAGAATATTCTGTACAACTATAATAGCATCAGCATAAAGGAATATGGCACTTTCATTTGCCTAACAATCCCATGATAATTAGTATGTTGGAGAGATGTACAGAATGAGGTGATGATGTACACACTACCCCATGTCTCCCAGCTCTAGCTTCCCTTAGGCAACAGTCCTGCATCTCAATTTCTTCAAATACAAATAAGAATGATAAAGTTGATCTTTCAGGTGACCCTGAGCCATATGAGAAAATTCTGGAGAGCAGATTTAACTTACAAGTATTCTGGAAATGTGAAGTATAAGTAGATTGCGCGAACAGAAGGCATTCATTGCTGTTTTGATTTTTATCATCTTAAAATTAAAATGAAGCACAGAAACAAAAGGGAGGTGAGAAGGGAACTGAATCGTGCCCACTGTGGCCCAGGTAAGCCACAGAACATCTTGCCTTAGACATCCATTCAGTAGGGGCCTAAGGCCCAAAGAGCGTTGGTCAGTGTGTTCAGATCCTCTCCCGACAGCAGAAGAAGTTTAGCTTGCACTTTCCTGCAATCTTCTCAGTGTCCAGACATGCCTTCCTGCATTTCCCCCGACCGAGCCTGCATGTCTCACACACAGCAAATTCACCTGTGCCAGGAAAGAGCTGCTGAGATCTTCTCTGGAACTTTCTGGGAATGGGAATAATATCTAAGGCCACCTAAACAGGCATATGGTTTGCATGTCTGCTTATGGAGAGCATTTTCTAGAATTATCCCAGAGGCTTTGGAGATGTCTCAGCGGGTCAAGTGCTTATTGTGTAGGCATGAAGACCTGAGTCTGATCCTGGGTTGGATCCAAGCTAGGGAGGCAGAAACATTTGGATCTTGGAAACTCAGTGGTCAACCTGAGTTTCAAAACACAAGGTGGATGGACCCTGGGGAATGACATCTAAGTTCCACCTCTGGCCTCCACACATATATGAACACACACACACACACACACACACACACACACACACACAAAAAAAAAAAAAAAAAAAAAAAAAAAAAAAAAAAAAAAAAAAAAAAAAAAAGCACTACCCCATAGCTTCTGCACTACACAGTGTGGAGTTAAAAAAGTTAAAAACAGAGGCAATCATCATCTATGTCCCCCAGGTGTTTATTGTCTTTCATGGTTCTAGTATAAATGACAGAATAATATCTGTTTTTCAGAACAGTCAAATGCACATATGCTACTACTGAAAATTTACTAGATGAAAACAAGAGGAATAGCTTGTGGTTTCAAATCCTTGAAGCTGGAATGAAAAATTTTAGTTTCACTTCTTGTTTGGGCCTAGTAATGTCTGTGTCTTTTCAAAAAAAATTGATTTACCTAGTCCTATTCAACCGAGGGACATACTAGAAACACCTGTGTACATTTTTAATTTGTCTAGTGGCCAAACAAATTAACTGCGTGATAATGTTTGTGCTGTTGAGTATTTATTTGAAAGGGTACATTAATGATTAAATGGCATAATCCTTGTGTGTTTGTTAAGGCCTAGAGAAGTTAGTACCCCATGACTTCTGTATTCCTCACTCTGGAATATTGTCTGAATCTATCCAATTTAGTGTGTGTGTGTGTGTGTGAGAGAGAGAGAGAGAGAGAGAGAGAGAGAGAGAGAGAGAGAGAGAGAGAGAGAGAGAGAGAGAGAGAGAGAGAGAGAGAGGTTTATGTGTAGGGTACATGGACCCATGTGTGTGCATACATAGAAACAGAAGAAGGCATCGAGCATCCCCTCACTTCTATTACTCTCAACTATAGTCCTTTGAAGCAGGGTTTCTCTTTGAACATTAGCTCATTTTTTTCTAGCTAGGCTGGCACATAAAAGAAAAGTACTATTGAACCTCCTGCTTCTGTCCCCACAGTGATGGGGTTACAGGCTCACACAAGACTGTGTGGGTTCTGGAATCCAAATTTGAGTCCTTGTTATTGCACGGCATGTACTCCTAACCAGTGAGCTATTTCTCCACTCATCCAAGAATATTTTAATATTTGTTTTGTGTGTAAATTGTGATGTCTTCCCATGTAAGAGATCCTCCTGTGCACACCCAAAGCTCGTGGCTAACTATTATAAACAGCTCTTCTGTAACAAAGGTGACTTATCACCTAAACTATTTTTACCATTCTACTTGATCCTCCTTAATCCAGCAGCATGCATCTGTGCAGACCTCATTCAATTTAGGTTGTAAGATGAGGAAAGCCATGGTCTTTAGGTAGTGCTAATTGGTGGGGGATGAGGTTGAACATAAGCACCATAAGTTAATAGGAAAGTCAATGGAAAAATCTAAATATGATCATGAACATAAAAGTAAGAGAAGTTGGAGCCAATGGACCAGAACTCAGTTCTTTCACAACTCCCTCCCCTTCTTGGCTTCACCAGTCAAAGATCGTTAACTAGGACTGCATCCCTAAGAGAAAGGGAGAAAGTACAGGTAAAAGATATCAGTTACCTGCTGGAAATGACTGGGAATACTCAAGTCCTGCCCAGGACCCTAAATTTAAAGCAAAATACATGTTAGGAAAGAATATTAAGGCAAGGAATGACATTATATAAAACTTCTCCTACATGTGACATGATTCATAAGAGACTGCCGATGTTACGGCTGCTATCTTTATTTGAGTCTTAAGATGAGTATTCCTGAACTAGGAAGACCAATATACAAAGCAAAAATAAAATAAAAATGAAAGCTCTATTCAGATGGCTGTTAGGATATATTAGTACAGTTCCAAGAAATATCTGGGGAGAAATTTACTTCCAATTTCAGGATGATACATGGAAGAGCCATTGGGTTTCATGATCTGCCCCCCATCACCCATCAAAACCCCATCAACTTTTATTTATTTACCTGATGGCAGTTGGACTATAATGAAGAACAAAGCAAAAGCAAAATAAAATATTTCTCTGCTCAGGGCCATGTTTGAGGGAAGATTCTCCAGAACACAGGACCAGGACTTCTTTGAGGGGACAAGAAAGCATTTATATTTGAAAGTGGTGGGTTATGTTCTTGGTCAGTGAAGTGAATCAATAAAGAAGGCGCAATTACATGCCCCATTTGCCAGGATCAAGAGCTGGAGCAGTGGGTTATAACCCTGGAGCCTGCAAAGTCTTATTCCCCAACACCTGACCAGCCTGTAAATGGAGTAGATGTTTGTTCAAGACTGGTAAAACCCAGGACTATGCACGCTTCTATTGCAGGAATCTAGGGGAGAGGATCATGATAGTTCTCCATATCTTCCTGAGGACCAAAGCACATCTATTGCCTTTGCAGCATGTCCTGGGGATCTGGTATAATCCCAACACAGAAGTACTCTGAATGCTCATACTGCTTACACAGAGCATTGGTGGGACTGGAAGGCAAATCCACAGATGTGCACACTTACCTTCTCATTCTCATTGATGTATTTGTAAATGTTTTAGAAGAATGTGAAGAGTAACAGCCCTTTTGCTAAGTTATCTTTGAATCCTGTGCTTGTCAGACATCACATCACAGACCAGTTATAACCACAGCAACCTTTAATAATTAAAAACATGGAGATCAAAAGGAATATTCATGTCACTCCCCAAAACTGTGTCCTGTTTATTGCCACCTTGATGCTTATAGTTACATGATGTTCTGGTCATCAGTTTTGGAGGCAGAAGTAGGCCTGGAATCACAGGTTTGCAAACTAGCAACTCCAGAGACTGAGGCAGAAGTATCACAAGCTAACATCTTGTCTGGGCTATTCATTGAATTCATTGAGTTCAAGGTCTGTATAACTTTGGTGAGATTTTTATCTAAAATACATAGAAAGAGGACTGTGGTAAATTGTTTGCTTAGCATACACAAAGCCTTATATTAAATTCTCAGGGTTTCTCTGTCTCCCTCTACACACACACACACACACACACACACACACACACACACACACACACGAAAAATGTAGACTATATAGCAAATTGGTAATTTTTCAAACCTCAGCCTCCTTATCCTTAAAATTGGGTTAGAATTATGATATAAGCGTCATCAGACATTTGAGAACATTGCATATGGCATAGAAGTGCTTAGCAGAATGTCTCGTTATTATTATTTCTGTTACATTCATGTTTCTATATAACCTTGAATAACCACTCTGTTAAAGTGAGCATAGTAATATGCCACCTAATGACATCTTCAATACTCATAGATCATCTGCCCTCACCAGAGAAGCTTCTTCTTGCATTATATGGTAGTTAACACAGACCTCCAACACTGTACAATGTGCAAAGAGTGAAAGACTTTGGAGCTGGCAGCCTTTAACGGGAATTTTTTTTTTTAAATCACACTTCTCCACTCAAGGCTCAGGGATCTATGTGGGAGAGGGGGTGGGAAGATTGTAAGCACTAGGAGTAGTAGTCAGCTTCAAGGGAACTGCTTCATACACTCTAAGGCTGATGATGCACATATGAACTCACAGAGACTGAGAGTGTGCACAAAACCAGCACTAGTTTAAGCCAGATAAAGCTCCAGCATATTGAAGTGGAAGTGGGCACAAAGCTCAGTCCCAGATGAGAAGCTGTTTATTTGTAATTGATAGCTGCTGGAAGAGGGAAAAGCAGTTTTTTTTTTAACTGGAGTGACACTGGGTATATCAACCACATTCCAGGACATGCCTTGTACCCAGGATAGTTGTTCATCCCAAATCAGACAACATGAAGTTGGCTGGGTAGTGGGGAGGAGTTATGGGAGAGGAAAGAATATGGTCAAAATATATTGCGTGAAATTTGAAAAAAAAAATGAAAACAAACAAAACAAAACAAAACAAAACAAAAACATCAGATAATGAAAGATGATGTAAGTAATGCTTGAAATGGGCTGCATACAGCAAAGTCCAGAATTTAAAAACAAATAACAGAGTTCATGCTTAGGTTACTTGTTTGCCCAGTGTGGACAGCTCACAAAAATTGAATCTGAAGTTCAGAGTCCACCTGACCACAGTACATCAATTCTTAACTGAAATACTGTCATATACTTACATACACTCCCACTATATCTGAGAGCTGGAGTCATTAAGGAACACAGTCAGGATTATCAATACAAATGACTAGACTCCAGATTTTTCTCCCATGACATCTGCACCCACTCATCCATCTCTGCCCACCTCTGTTCTCCTCTCATGCCGATTTTCCTTCTTGGGAACTTTCCAGAACCATAAGAACAACCAACTGTAGGCTGAGTGACACCCACTGAGGCAGGTAGGCTCCATGCAGCAGGGCATGGGTTCACTCATTCTGATGAGCTTCACTGATCAAGACTCTGTTCAGTCTGGAGAAATGTATAAAGGTGGGTGTTGCTGCCTTTTCCCACGGACATTGTGCTGACCCCTCACAGACCTCCAGGTCATGAAGACAGTCTTCTTTCTCTTTGCTCTTCTCTTCTTTGTGGGTCCAGGTAAAGAAAATAAGCTTGTTTATAGGGAGGGTGATCTGAGGTGCTGGCCCAGACACAAGGTCTATCCTTCAAATGCCCGGGTGTGATTAATCCTAGTATGTAAGGGTATCTTTAGTCTGTTGGCCTTGAAAGAGAACAGTTGTTGCAGAAGGTAACTTTCCTACAATGAATCACCTATTCATCAGTAATCATATATTCATACATTGCATTTTCCATTAGCACCTGTGAAAAGTTGTTTGAGTAAGTTAAAGGACATCAAGAAAGGTGCTTTTTGATGCCTGGGTTTATGATTATTAACAAAAATAATGGACAAAAAATTAAAGGGGGAATTAAAAATAAAAACCCAGATGTTTTAAATGTGTTGTAAGTATTGAATAAAATAGGCCATAAAGATATAAAAAAAAAAGATGTGGAAAAAGAAAGTAATGGAGCTATGTATCCATGTCCATAACAGCATCAGACAAAAGAACACACTGGAGACTGCCATTTGTTAACTGCATATCTAAAAATCAATGCTGTGTTGTAGATGCCTGATAATAAAATGCATTTAATTCTCCATAGCCAGTGCCTTTAAGAAAAATTCTGTTCTACTTTTAATTTAGTGATATTCAGAGATATTTTTCTTTTTGGTTTGAAATATGTCTGTATTTGGAGACAGAGACTCAGACAGGTGAGGGTTCTTTTCAGGGACATACAGACAAGGCAGTATTGGTACTCTGTGTTGCACAGTGAGAGCTGTGTGGGATATCCTTCTCTATGCTTTCTCACACTTCTGGCAAGTTTGAAAAGATGTAACTGTATCCTCTCCAAAATTAAGGCACAGGGACTCTTCCTAATTCCAGGGAGCTGAATAAAAGGACTTTGGGGAGTCAAAGAGAATCAAACATTACTCTGGGTACTAGTGATGTATCAGCCCATGTGTGTTGCTACTGTATGTGTCCCTGGTCTGTGTTATGACAAATCCATGTGAGTGGATTCTGCATCAGAATATGGAGATCTAGACCTTCAGTGGATGAGTGGTGTGTTATGCATCCTCCTGGCACTGATGTGAACATTGAGTATTAAGATCACTCATATGTATGATATAATTATCATAATGCAAGATTACCCAGTATAAAATATTGTACCAAATGCACCACATGTGCAGAAACTCCATTTGAACCCATTAGAAAGCTATAGGCAAAGATCTTTTGTTCCAAAAACTGCTGGTTCATCACTGAGAACGGGATATGCTACAAGGACTCTTGGAAAATAAAGTCCTGAGTCTGTAGTCTGACATAGCCTTACCATGTTAGGAGAGCAGAGAAAATATGGAATACTGCAGTGAAAGCCAGAATTTAAGGGGCTTTGAAATGTGGGTCACTTATACTTGTGAACTGATATTCTCACAGTAGTTAATGGCTAGTATGTCTGAGAGTAGTCACCCTCTGGGTTGTAGGTTTTGCATAAATTTGTATTAGCAGCTTCAAGCATTCATATCACATGGAATCTCTATACATTGGATACCTCCACTGCACATACTTCAAGTCAGCAACACATGAGATTTTGATCCTGATAAGATGGATTGTCCGTTTTTAACAGGCAGTGGTCTGCTCTTGTGAATGCTATGGACAAGGTGCTAATGCAAGGACTAGAATCTCAAGAAAAACATTAACAGTTTCAGGGAGCGTGTTTCAACTACCCCCTCCAAGTGTCTGACTTTTACAGTGGCATCTTGGTGGAATGTGATAGAGAAATCAGATTCTTTCTCCACTTGGGCATTGTGATGGCCCATTAGAAATCTATAGACAAAGATGTTCTTTGGCTTCAATCTGCCTGGGCCATCATTGTGAATTGGATATGCCACAGGCCTCTTTATTTTCCCAATGCTCCACTTTTAATACCAATTGTGAGCTATCTCCCCATTTTCAGGTCTTGTTCTCAACTCTGACAGAGTAGCAATTTTTGAAAGTATGTTAGAGAAGTTCCTGAGTGTGAAAGTATTTATGAGTTGAATTGGTATTTTTCCCCAGTAGATTTATATAAAATAATGTCAGCTTCTGTCTTCCAAAGTCCCAATCAAAACTATCTGGGTGTTAGCTAGTTCTTTCTGCTATTTCACCTTGTGTGACAAAAGACAGAAATATCACATAGAAAACAGTTCTGCTAGTAACTCATCTACTGGAAGACTAAGGAACTTAGCCAGAGCTTGAAAAGAGACCCTTGCTGATGTCATATATCAATAATTAGCCACATTGGAAAAGAATTAATCTGGGTGGGGGGATTTCTTCTTTTGTGTAGCCAAGAATGCATTTTTCAGTGAGAAATGCAGCAAGCTTAATGGGAGATGCACGAGTTACTGTCAAAAAAATGAAGAACTTATTGCTCTCTGTCATATGACTCTGAAGTGCTGTGCGATGGTCCAGCCATGTGGGAGGATCAAAGGCAATGACTCAGCTGAAGACATGGCTGCATAGAGAATCAAAGATGCCCTAGCTCTGTCTTTTGGCTGTGGCACCTGCAGGAAGCAGACACTTCAATAAAAATAAATGGCTGCTTTTCTTCA